CACCGCGGACCTGTTTCAATCCCCTATTTGCACAAATATACCTCGTTGACCTTTCAAATCCGCCAAGGTCAATTAGTTTGAAATGATATAGGTTATTGATTTTTTCATGAAGATTTTATAGCATGATTATTCGGTTATGAACTGTAACGCTGGCAAGGTTATATATTCGAACACAATCGCTATCATACATTTTACACAACGTTTCTGGTCAAATAATCGTTTGTGGATTGAACGTACTTGTCCCGTTGTGACCTAGGATATACAGACTCAATATGATTGATCCGGACTACATGGGCAACTATGTTTATTTGTAAATATACTCTTTTTACAATTCGTATACTATTCTTGCACTGTCACCTTGTTACTCGTACACAGATTAATTCCTTTGTACAGTTTACGTGAATCACTTGACCAGTATGAGTAGGTATTTATTAAATCAATTATGTTGTATACTGTTCAAACATGTAAGTAAGACACACCCATTCCACTGCACTTTGAATATCTGGCAGCATGCCAAAAAACAATTCACCCTCATCAAACAGCTAACTCTCATCGGTGATCCTAGGTGATGCCAAAAAGGGAAAACCTCGTTCAGCTACGATATAGAAATTGTTTTTGTATATATGTTTGCTATCAGTAATAAGTCTTTGTTTCTGCTTGTATTGAACCATTGATTTCGTGGAACCTGCAATAAATGAGTAGAAACAGAATACTAATGATGTTATCATTATTTCATTGTTACATTAAGGAATTGTTTGAAGAGTTATAGTCTCTGTAAACAATGGGGAAAATATCGTTAATCCAGGTCATGTGGTTCTTTAGAAAAACTTACTCCGGGTGTTTGTTTTTAGAAAAAGTCAGTTTTCTTGGACACATTTTTCCGCGATCTGGCCAGATGATCAAGTTTATTGAAACAAACATGGTAGTTTTTCCTACCAGCAAAATTTAAGCCAACTTACTTTTAGTTTATAGAAAAAGGGGGTTATGCCAGATGAACGAATAAATGACAGAGACGTTAGAAAAATACATTGGGACTTCGTTCCAGGGAGCTAACCATCGCTAAACAACATACAGACAATACGATTGATGGGGTCTATCTGTGAAAATCCATGGATTAGCTCTACATACATCTACTCGACACTCCTAAATTGTCTCAGTCTCTGTATACACCATCTTACGGATGATACGTTTTCTTTATGAATATACTCGAGAATCGAAGTCGATGAACACGCCAGCTTGCGAATGAAAAGAAGCAACTATAGTAACAGAATCAGCGTGCCTGTGTTCTCAGGGTAAGATACAAATGAATCGGCTCTTTGATAATCACCAAAGCACAAGTGACACTGTCTATAATCATCGTGATCCAATTTGCTTTCTAAACAAGTTCCTAACCCTCTAAGTGGCGATTTAGTCAGCATTATTAGAAGGCCTGGTCATATATATATATATAAATATTTATATATAACGCGTGCAACTTTTGGTGGCAGATATATTTTAATGAACTTGCAATATATTTGTTTCGAAAACCAGGCATTATTTTTCACCGATCATCAAAATGGCTATAAATTTCTACACAGCGCACAGAGCCGGGTTTCTAGTCAATCTGATACACGTCCCTGCGTTTTTGGTATGCATGTCATTAAAACACCTTTACACGACATAACAAGGAGTATTTTGGTTTTATTGTTCGCTGTTAAATAACATTTAATACTTGTATAATTGAAAATATCTAGTTCAGTAACAGTCATGTTGTCTTAATGCACTTACCATTGATCCCATGTTCTCTTACACTGGACATGACATTACGTCAACCATTCATCAACGTCACGTCAACCCTAAATGTAGCCTTTAACTTTAACACTACATTATTTATATGATACACAATAGGTGAACAGGGTAGTAGAAACAAGAATCATTCACCCCTTAAGGATGAGATAGGGGAATCTCGACCCTCGGGAAAAGATTCTTTAGTTGCCAAACACTCGCCAAAGCCTCGTGTTTGGCAACCTAAGAATCTTTCCTCTCGGGCTGAGATTTCCCTTTCACCCCGAAATGAGCGAGATATTATATTAGCCCTCATATTCAGACGGTCTTTAGGGTCTCTTAACACAGTAACTCTAAATCAGATACGTTTCCCGGCATGTGTACAGCTTTAACAAACCTAATCTTAAAAGAAAAACATCACTTGTGAAACATTAATGGGAAACATTAATAAAATAAATGGTGAAAAAAAATATAGATGGTGTTCCGAGTGTACAAATGCAAATGTGGCTCTAACCAACTGGGCTAGGCCAGGATTCGATCCCTGGTTTTTGGTCGTAGTACTGTGGCTCTGACCAACCGAGCTACTTAGTCACACTAGTGTACCCTGGTCAAGTCACGCTACACTGATAGCTAACACGAAATTAAGGTGTTGTTACTGTTTGTACAACAATTGAAGTGAAACTATTTATGTGTTTTGCCTGCAGTCGGACAGGCTTTTTAAGAAGACAGATACCATTGGCTTCTCGATTGTTTTGTTGTTTTGTTCCGTAACACGACAATACTCCACTGACTGTTCAAACCAGCTCCACTGTTCTTTGTCTCAAGACAGGCGTCGTCTTTAGCACTAGTCATAGTGACAAAGCGTGTGGGATGTTTCACACATGAAAGCATTACGTTGTCATTAGCCAAACGCACCAGGTTGAACTGGCCGTTTTCGCCAGGCACGTTTGTGTACGCCATTACATTTCCTTTCGCATTGTCATTGATCATTAACGCCATTTCCCTTTGCTCATCAAGACGTATCACAAAGTAAGTTTTGTTCGCTTCAGTTTCTTTTTCCATGATAAACTTGGTGCGCTTGTCCTGGAACACACGTAGATATTTCTTCTGTGTGAACGGTATGATCTTTCCTGATGGATGTCGAAACATTGCAAACGTTGAATCCTCAGAAGATACTATTATGACCTTTTTCCCAGCTAAGCTATTTAAGTATTCAAGTTGACATGAAAGACTCCTTTTGATTAGCATTTTAAGCATGGGCCAATCGCCGTTCATAAATACAGCAGAAACACCTGCGAATTCAGCTTCTGGTTCAAAAAGTATCTTCAATGTAGAATCCCTGTCCATACGTTGACCTTCAATATCCTTAAAATAACCCTCGGCAGTATTCTGCGAATTTCCATTTGCAATGCATAGAATGACTATATAAAGAAAAACGTATTCCTTCAAAACTGCAAGATTGCAGTGCAAGTCAAGGAGATCAACTATTGCTTGATATCGTGCTTCAGTTTCTTCACTTTTTTCTATGTTTTTCTGTTTTTTCAACTCCTGAAGTTTAGACTGCACTTCAGCATAAAATTCGTTTCCCGTGCTACAGAGTGGAACTTCGGAACATGCAGTTGATATCCGTTTTGGATCAGAGTTGTTTCCGTTGAGCGAAATCAGACAATGCAAGGAGTCCTTCATTTTACACAGGAAGCCAAAGGCATTTGCCTTCAGGTTACTGCTAAGTGTGGCATGCTCAGGGACACTGTAGAAATCCGAGTAAGTTTTCCAGACATGTCGAAAAACCACGAGTAGAGATCGAGCAATCTTAGCACTAATCTTAGGGAAACTAAACACTTGTGCCAAAGTGACCGATTTAAGAATAATTTCGGGTGTTCCTTTCGGATCCTTGTTGAAATTTTCAAATAAAGCTGTTAATCCCTGTACGATCTCGTCGCTTTCCTCGCAGCGTTTCCTTGGATATTCTTGAATAACGTCAAATGCCTCTGAAAGTTCTTTGTTTTCTTCGTTTGTAGCCGTTGCCATGTCGATATACTTCACTGTAAACAGATAAGAAGCATTAAAGTATTTTCTTCTCACATTGCTTTCAAGGCTTGCATTCAAGCACTACTCCCTTTTCGTATCTTTTGTATTGAACTTCACTACAATAAACTGATTCAACGATAGTTAGTTAGATGCTTAATCAAAAGAGTATTAATGTAAAGGACTGTAGCTGATGTATCCCATCCTCAGACGGTCCCTCATGTACATGATGTGTATGGATATTGTGAAATAATTATTTTATTAGTTATTCGAAACCATATTTATGATACACTTTTAAGACGAAAATTGCAAAATCCAAATAATCTCAGATTACTGTTGTTAGTATATTTTGTTTTGGTATTTTGTTCCGGAATTATGTAATCAAAGTTATAGTCATTCTGGCAAATCACTTTACAATGTACGTTACAGTTCTTGACAGTGGAACAGTAAAGGTTTAATACAGGTACTATAACACACGTTTTTTCTGTTGATTTGTTACTTCAATTTATCACTGAAATGATCAGACTTCCAGGTCAAGTGGAAATGTTCTCAAGTAGAGTGTGTAGTCAAATCAAAACGAGGTCAGTCACAAATGTCTTATTTAGTTGCGTGTTAAGTGTGGTAACATCTTGCAGTTGTTTTTTCAAGAATAACATGACACATATGTCGACAATCTGAAATGTTAATACGAGGATGATATAAAATAGACTTTTACTCACCAATTAATGTCCCACCCGATATCTTCTAATAGTCCTGCTTTGTAACCCGTAACCAAGTAACATTTATCTGAACTGATCGATTGAAGCGTCTACACAAATACTCTTTCAATCAGCATCAACCGATATCAATGTTTTTTTCGCCCGTTGAAGTTCACAGTAACTGACAGACACACCGAAGTTTTGAAATAAAAAATATTTCAAACAAATATCCGATAAAAGAAAAGAAAAAGATCACAACGCATTCAGCATACGGCTATCAACAATCTTTAAGAGGTTTGTGTAGGGTAGATTTATGATACAAATGCGGCTTGTTGGACCTTGAATCACAACCTGCAGAACAGTTTACTTTGCAGCCCGTAACAAAGTATCATTTACCTAGACTGACAGGATGAGGGGTGTTGAAGTGTTTATTTACATGGCTATCAGCCCAAATAACCTTTGATACGTCTGGGTTGGGTAGATCTAGAAGGTTCATCCGACAAATAGCGACAAAACTGTGCTGCATTTCATATCACACATCAGACAGGTTACAGAATACTGGGAGATTCCTCACACAGTCGTAAGGTAAACAGCTATTATATTTACAGTTTGACATCGCCGATGTTGTTAAGCTGGTGTAGTAACAGGATTTGTCTCTTTATTTACGTTTGTATAACGAAAGTGATAGCAGTGCGTTTCTCGCTATAACAACATTATTATTGCATATACGCTACTTTAAATTCTTAATATATAATGCAAAATATATGTGTTGGTATCATTATGCTAAACAAACGATTACAATAGGGAGTCGCATAAAATATGGCGTTCATATTTGTGAAATAATAATAATAATTAATAATTCGAGGTTCTTATATACTGCTTAATCACAACCTAGTTCGTAGGTCGTCTCAGAGCGTTTCACATTATTATCCGTGGTTATAGGGTCTTTGTAACCAGCCAGTATATTTCTCAACTCCCTGGGGAGCATACAGCCGGCGCTGCCATTTCGTCGCTCACAGCTAGCATTCGGCCATTTTAGCACTACCCAACCACGTACTTATTTACAGCCGAGTAGACTGGAACAAGCTGAGTAATGTATTTTGCTCAAAGATACAACACAGTACCGTGACGTGATTCGAACCCGCAACCCTTCGGTCACGACCCCGGCGTCCTACCACTAGACCACTGTGCATCCTAAAACAGAGTTTCGTTTGAAAACGTATCTGTTCTAAGAAGGATGATAACACCTCAGTACCTCCACTACCGAGACTGTTTAATATCACACGGAGTATAAGAGCTTCTGCTAATTCTATGCTCCTTATCAATGTAACGTGATACTTTTAACATGCTGGCACATGCGGTATCGCGACGGTTTACTGACCTCAAGGTCATAAGTGTTGATATGATTATGGCGTTTGTGATACACCTGTTTTGGTTGGAGTAACGTTTTACGGAGAATAGATTCTTCTATAATACCTTGATTGTATTAGTTTGGACGCTATACAATGTTACATAATTATCGTAGGATCCCTGTCCAATTGCAATGTGATTTTAAGGATCCCTATCCCTCTGCACTGTGGTTTTTAAGGATCCTTGTCCTTCTGTACTGTGATTTTTCAGGATCCCTGTCCCTTTGCACTGTATTTTTTAAGGATCCCTGTCCCTCTGCATTGTGGTTTTAAAGGATCCCTGCCCCTTTGTACTGTTTGTTTAGGATCCCTGCCCCTTTGCACTGTTTGTTTAGGATCCCTGCCCCTTTGTACTGTTTGTTTTGGATCCCTGCCCCTTTGCACTGTTTGTTTAGGATCCCTGCCCCTTTGTACTGTGGTTTTAAAAGATCCCTGGCCTTTCCCCCGTGGTTTTTAATGATAACTGGCCCTCTGCACTGTGGTTTTTAAGGATAACTGGTCCTCTCTCGTGTGGTTTTTAAGTATCACTGTCCCTCTGTACTGTGATTTTAAGGATTCCTTGCCCTTGCCCTTGTTTTTAAAGGCTCCATGTTCTCTCCACTGTGGTTTTTAAGGATACCTGTCCCTCTGCACTGTGTTGTTTAAGGAATTCTATCTCTATGCTTTGTGATTTTTAAGGATCCTTGTCCCTCTGCACTGTGGTTTTATCTGGTACAGGTCATAGAGCTATATAATCAAGATCGCCTTGATGGTGATCTCTGAGAAAGAAAATACAAAAGAGACTTCAATATAAATGATTAAGATATTGCGGTGGCTTATAAACTAGAGAGGCTCTAATGCGCATCTTTTAGACAAATATTAATTCTGAGAGGGTTCGAATATCAGTTTCTGCTGCTTTTTTTCAGAATTGATTTATGAATTAATTATGTTGAGAAAATGTTTCCGGTCTGTTGGTATATTTTTTGCAATAGTACGGGATTTCTTAACTCTTTCCGTCCCGTTGTCGTGTACACATGAAAAGAGACATGTTGGTGTAACCTGTCTCAATTATGACACACGACAGTCGCATAATACAATAAATTGTCGCTAAAATCAGCACCCATCATTTTGAGTGAAATATTTCTATAGGTTCAAAGTACACATTTTTCATTATGTATCCTGTTGTTTTCTGTGTTTTGGTGTCTCAAATATAAACAATATGGCGGCATCTTCATTCGATACGAACACTCGTAAATTCGTCACCAAAAATGTATTGAAACTTATGGAAGTAAATATGAATATCTGAATATAATATTCGATCAAATCTACTTGGATTTAGAGAAAAAGATTAACGACTTCGTATTCGTAACCATTAATCAATACCCATTAGGAACCTGCACTACAACGCTGATTTGAATACAAGGACTCGTATCGTTTGTTGCCGGACAAATTACGATTTCTCAGTCATAATCAGCCGCCAGGTAGTCATAATGCTACGAAAATAAATATGTGTGTGTCTATAAACAACAAAATAAACAACAATAACAATATTTGTTCACGGTTACCTGTTTATTTCTTACAGCAGTTAAACCTCGTCTAAGAATTGCTGATCCACCGAGTCAAGTTAGGACACCCGGAACGGAATCCGGACTGGATTTGCGGTACGGAAAGTGTTAAAACTACAAGAAAAAAAGCAACAAAGAGTCAGACATTTCATTTTCTTTATCATTATATCCATTAACGGTTCCAAATCCATAATGCATTGAAAAAGTACAAGGTGCATTTCATTTCATGCTTTTTACTTCTGAAACCATACTCTACCGAAATCAACAGGAACTGTGAAATTTAGATGGATAAGACAGCGTGTCAGTAGTCTAAAGTAAACGCTTGAGATACTGGATTTATGTAGTACATGCTGTCCTTCATATTCAGGCGACAATAAAATATGATTATCGTGTATTATGTTCTTTAACCTGGAATATTTCAGATGGCAACTGAAGAAGATGAGAGAAAATTAAACGAACTTCTCCAAATCAATGGATTAAAGGAAAGTCTTGATTATCTGCAAAGCCTTGCTAGCGACCAACGCTCCGAAAAAGCAGGTATACGTAGCCATATAGTCAAACTAAAGCAACACCTCTGTGAAGCTATCAAAGATCCAGAAAATATTTTTGCTGCTGTCGCAGCAGTTCTTGAGTTGATGGGCAAAATTATCCCATTTGGTCTCCCCTTTACCTTAGCATCCGTGGCGATCACAGGACTTCTGATATTGTTCAAGTTTCTCTCCAAAAAGTCATCCAAAATGAAGGTAATTGAACAGCAGACTTATCTTGAGGCCGACATTCAGAAAAAAGCATTTGCTGTGCATAGTGCTTTATCTTCCTCTCTTCACTATCTCAAGGGCATACACCAACGGAAACTCAACGACCATGAAATTGATATAGTGCTAGGTCAGGTTCCGCGAGAAACGGGTACCGAGTTCCTTGGAGTGCTTGAATACAAAATAAAGGAATTTCAAAATGGAAAAGCAAACAAGCAGAAAGGGAAGAAAGAAAAGAAAGAGACAGAGGAAAAAGAAGAGGATACGTTAAAAAGGTGCAATGCTATCATCGCCCTCATTGATCTGTACTGTGTCCTGTCCTGTTTGAGAGAGTTTGTTATGTACTACCTTGTAACATTACTCGCCAACAACAGAGTTCCCGAGAAAATAACGGAGAGTTATCTTGAGAGACGAGAACATTTCAAAAACAGCAGAGAATCAATTTTGAAAGTTCTTCATGACCCTGAAGCGAAAGATGCAAGTGTTTCTGCCGTGTTCAATCTTAACACATGGCCAAAGCTCAGTCAGCAACTCGAATCGCGTCCCGACTTAAGGGATTTGATAGATCGTCCCTGGAATGTTGTGTCTGCCTCTAACGACAGGTTTGCGATGTTTCGGTGTTCGCCTAAGACTAGAAAGCTGTTCACACTGACAAGATACGTTCGCGTCAAGACGTTCGTGGACAATACTGAAACGAAATTTTTGATGCAATCTGAAGGAAATCGAGATTTCACAATACATCTCTGTGAACATGATGACTTTACGTGGAAAATGAGTGGAGATCTCTTAGAAGCTTCTAGAACGACCCAAGCAGAACAACGTGTCAAATTCAACATCGTACGGTTATCCAATGGAAATGTAATGTTTTCATCAAAGAATCGACCAACTTGCTTTGTCAAAATGGAAAATGCAAAAGATGACGCGCGACTGAGTGTAGCCAACAACTCATTTGACGAGACTTGCCAGTGGAAACTTCTCTAAACCACGTGTAACATATCACTGCTTCATATGGTTGGCCTTCACACACGATAACTTTCCCAACAGAAGATTTATTTACCGGTGTTCAATTTTGACAGTATTTGACGTAGAAGGAATTCTGCCATTATAACTATATTGGCTCGACCTGGTGCAACATCGTTTATCTAAATCCTTTAATGCGGACGTCTATCCGAACATTTATACTATCTAACATGTGTTTCCATAATCTACATTAATTGTAATATAAATAAATTCAATTGTGTTGGTTATTTGACATCGGCAATCATGTAGTGTTCCCTGGCGTCGCTAAAATTTAGAGTTTTGTGCTCAGGAGTAGATGGTTACATTTTGGTGCGCTATTTCTTTTGTTTGATGATCCTGTGTGCTATATGTTGGTGCTTTACGTTGTCTCAAGCTACACATCGATCCATCAGTCTATTGTGTTACGGTTGCTGTGGAGCTCAGTGACAAAACTGGATCCTCTATAACCTTTGTTTGCCCAGGTATTTTACTGAATTCCCTCAACGTTGCAAGATTGCAGTACAAGTCAAGGTGATCAACTATGGCTTTATATCGAACTCGTCGCTTTCCTCGCAGCGCTTCCTTGGAGACTCTTGTATGACGTCAAATGCCTCCAAGAGTTCTTCGCTTGTAGTTGTTGCCATGACTATACCATTTCACTGTAAACAAATCAGAAGCGTTTTAGTAAAAACATATAATGCAACATCAAAACCTGGTGTTTGTCAATAATGAAAATACATAGTGTTGGTTACCCCAGTCCAAAGGAAGAAAAGTTCAGGTTCTTTTTCCCTGAAGTCTGTTTTTTTGGAGAAGCAAAGTTGTACTCTCTCACACTCTAATAAAACTATATTACCTGTAACTGAGCGAGATTGGGTTATCTCAGTCGAGGACTACGATTCTGTAACATAATTCAAAGTGTCCGAGGCGCATTGTTTTCAACCGATGTCATCTTCGTGTTTTATTCGGGACAACAGGCGTGATTAATATAAGTTTATTTATAATTTGACGAACTTCGTTTTATCATTGTTTGCCGGGATGCATATACTTTAAATGTAAATAGCATACCGTATAGCTGGATATTTCCGCGAGTTTGCGGGTTAATAGTTTGATCGCGAAAATGTGATCCGCAGAACAATATGATAAGCGTATAAATGAGCCCCGGTTATGAACTTCAAAACCGTAATATCTTCATGATATAGCGCGCATGTGTTTTTCACGATTCGTATATCATACATAGACGATCTGTCATAAGTTTCCCTTCAAATTAGATTTATGATACAAGTTTTGGATTTTTCATGTTTGCGAGCCTCTGGAAAGGAAATAAAAATTAAATAAACTCCAACACGAGTATCATTAATCTAATATGAAGGGAAACGATTCACAGATTCTTTTTATCATGAAATACAAAGTAAACTGTATAATTGTGATCTGAAACGAATATTTTGCACTTGGCCGCCTCTGAAACGATGAAATTGCGACCGCTTCGCAATGACTTGACGTAACAATGGATTTATGACACTGTTTAACATGGTTTAACAAAATACACTTGTTATTGTTAATGTACTGCTGTTTAACAAAATACACTTTTTGCCATACGTTATTTTGCCCGATATCTCCTCACAGTCCTACTTTGCAATCCACTACCTAGAAAACACTATCTACAGCATGACTACATTTACCTTGACCGGTCGATAAAAGTGTCTAGATATCAACTGACAATCATTTTCTAGTTCAAGTCAACCACATCTAATCTGTATGTATCTTAATACTTAAAATCAAAGTCAACCTAACGACACAAACACGTTTTGACAACAAAAAATGGTGTTTCAAAAGAAAGCAAATGAAATTGGAACTAAAAAGTAACTACATTTCTTTCGAATCGGCCGTGTTGGCCAGAAGATAGCCAGAACATCTTCTCAAACAAATGTTAAAATTGCATCTGATACTGAAATAAATATGAAGATACTGAGTACTCTAAACATGATAGTCATTAGTTTAACCATCCTGTACACTAAAATAAGGTCTACACTAAACATGATAGTCTGTAGATTAACCATCCTATACACTAAAAGAAGGTCTACATTAAACATGATAGTCAGTAGATAAACCATCCTATACACTAAAATAAGGTCTACCATAAACATGATAGTCAGTAGATTAACCATCCTATACACTAAAAGAAGGTCTACACTAAACATGATAGTCAGTATATTAACCATCCTATACACTAAAATTAAGGTCTACACTAAGCATGATAGTCAGTAGATTAACCATCCTATACACTAAAAAAAGGTCTACCCTAAACATGATTGTCAGTAGATTAACTCTCCTTAACCCTAAAATAAGGTCTACACTAAACATGACAGTCAGTAGATTAACCCTCCTATACACTAAAATAAGGTCTACCCTAGACATGACAGTCAGTAGATTAACCATCCTATACACTAATATAAGGTCTTCCCTAAACATGATAGTCTGTAGATTAACCACCCTATACACTAAAAAAAGGTCTACCCTAAACATGATTGTCAGTAGATTACCCCTCCTTAACCCTAAAATAAGGTCTACCCTAAACATGATAAATAAGGTCTACCCTCAACATGATTGTCAGTAGATAAACCCTCCTATACACTAAAATAAGGTCTACACTAAACATGATAGTCAGTAGATTAACCCTCCTATGCACTAAAATAAGGTCTACCCTCAACATGATTGTCAGTAGATAAACCCTCCTATACACTAAAATAAGGTCTACACTAAACATGATAGTCTGTAGATTAACCATCCTATACACTAAAAAAAGGTCTACCCTAAACATGATTGTCAGGAGATTAACCCTCCTTAACCCTAAAATAAGGTCTACCCTAAACATGACAGTCAGTAGATAAACCATCCTATACACTAAAATAAGGTCTACCCTAGATATGACAGGCAGTAGATTAACCATCCTATACACTAAAATTAAGGTCTACACTAGATATGACAGGCAGTAGATAAACCATCCTATGCACTAAAATAAGATCTACACTAAACATGATAGAACCATCCTATACACTAAAATAAGATCTACATTAAACATGATAGTCCGTAGATAAACCATCCTATACACTAAAATAAGGTCTAGACTAAACATGATAGTCTGTAGATTAACCATCCTATACACTAAAAAAAGGTCTACACTTCACATGATAGTCTGTAGATTAACCATCCTATACACTAAAATAAGATCTACATTAAACATGATAGTCTGTAGATAAACCATCCTATACACTAAAATAAGGTCTACACTAAACATGATGGTCTGTAGATTAACCATCCTATACACTAAAATAAGCTCTACATTAAACATGATAGTCTGTAGATAACCCATCCTATACACTAAAATAAGGTCTACACTAAACATGATAGTCTGTATATTAACCATCCTATACACTAAAAAAAGGTCTACACTAAACATGATAGTCTGTAGATTAACCCTCCTATGCACAAAAATAAGATCTAAACTAAACATGATAGTCTGTAGATTAACCATCCTATTCACTAAAAAAGGTCTACCCTAAACATGATTGTCAGTAGATTAACCCTCCTTAACCCTAAAATAAGGTCGACACTAAACATGACAGTCAGTAGATAAACCATCCTATACACTAAAATCAGGTCTACCCTAGACATGACAGTCAGTAGATTAACCATCCTATACACTAAAATTAAGGTCTACACGAAACATGACAGTCAGTAGATAAACCATCCTATGCACTAAAATAAGATCTACACTAAACATGGTAGTCTGTAGATAAACCATCCTATACACTAAAATAAGGTCTCCCCTAGACATGACAGTCAGTAGATTAACCATCCTATACACTAAAATTAAGGTGTATACAAAACATGATAGTCAGTAGATTTACCATCCTATGCACTAAAATAAGATCTACACTAAACATGGTAGTCTGTAGATAAACCATCCTATACACTAAAATTAAGGTGTATACAAAACATGATAGTCAGTAGATTTACCATCCTATGCACTAAAATAAGATCTACACTAAACATGGTAGTCTGTAGATAAACCATCCTATACACTAAAATAAGGTCTCCCCTAGACATGACAGTCAGTAGATTAACCATCCTATACACTAAAATTAAGGGCTACACTAAACATGACAGTCAGTAGATAAACCATCCTATACACTAAAATCAGGTCTACCCTAGACATGACAGTCAGTAGATTAACCATCCTATACACTAAAATTAAGGGCTACACTAAACATGACAGTCAGTAGATAAACCATCCTATACACTAAAATAAGGTCTACACTAAACATGATAGTCTGTAGATTAACCCTCCTATGCACTAAAATAAGATCTACACTAAACATGATAGTCTGTAGATTAACCATCTTATACACTAAAAAAAGGTCTACCCTAAACATGACGGTCAGTAGATTAACCATCCTATACACTAAAATTAAGGTCTACACTAAACATGACAGTCAGTAGATAAACCATCCTATACACTAAAATAAGGTCTCCCCTAGACATGACAGTCAGTAGATTACCCATCCTATACACAAAAATTAAGGTGTATACAAAACATGACAGTCAGTAGATTAACCCTCCTGTACACTTAAATAAGTTCTACACTAATTATGATACTCAGTAGATTAACCCTCCAATACACTAAAATAAGGTCTACACTTAACATGATAGGCAGTAAATTAACCGTCCTATACACTAAAATAAGGTTTACCCTAAACATGATAGTCAGTAGATTAACCATCCTATACACTAAAATAAGGTCTACACTAAACATGATAGTCTGTAGATAAACCATCCTATACACTAAAATTAAGGTGTATACAAAACATGACAGTCAGTAGATTAACCCTCCTATACACTTAAATAAGTTCTACACTAATTATGATACTCAGTAGATTAACCCTCCTATACACTAAAATAAGGTCTACACTTAACATGATAGTCAGTAAATTAACCGTCCTATACACTAAAATAAGGTTTACCCTAAACATGATAGTCAGTAGATTAACCGACCTATACACTAAAATAAGGTCTACACTTATCATGATAGTCAGTAAATTAACCGTCCTATACACTAAATTAAGGTTTACCCTAAACATGATAGTCAGTAGATTAACCCACCTATACACTAAAATAAGGTCTACACTTTACATGATAGTTAGTAGTTTAACCATCCTATACACTAAAATAAGGTCTACACTAAACATGATAGTCTGTAGATTAACCCTCCTATGCACTAAAATAAGATCTAAACTAAACATGATAGTCTGTAGATTAACCATCCTATTCACTAAAATAGGTCTACCCTAAACATGATTGTCAGTAGATTAACCCTCCTTAACCCTAAAATAAGGTCTACACTAAACATGACAGTCAGTAGATAAACCATCCTATACACTAAAATAAGGTCTACCCTAGACATGACAGTCAGTAGATTAACCATCCTATACACTAAAATTAAGGTGTATACAAAACATGATAGTCAGTAGATTTACCATCCTATGCACTAAAATAAGATCTACACTAAACATGATAGTCTGTAGATAAACCATCCTATACACTAAAATAAGGTCTACACTAAACATGATAGTCTGTAGATTAACCATCCTATACACTAAAAAAAGGTCTACACTTCACATGATAGTCTGTAGATTAACCATCCTATACACTAAAAAAAGGTCTACCCTAAACATGATTGTCAGTAGATTAACCCTCCTTAACCCTAAAATAAGGTCTACAC